CTCATAGGGCCTGCCCTGCTGCCCCCTGATCATGCAAGTGGCCCTCCTCTGGACCCTCTCCATGTTGTCCACATCCCTCTTGAAGTGTGGTGCCCAGAACTGGATGCAGTACTCCAACTGCGGCCTGACCAGTGCTGCATAGAGGGGGAGGATCACCTCTTTGGACCTGCTCAAGAGGCATCTGCGGATGCATGGCAAGGTGCGGTTGGCCTTCCTGACTGCCTCCCCACACTGCTGGCCCATGTTCATCTTGGAGTCGATGATGACTCCAAGATCCTTTTCCGCCTCTGTGCTGACAAGAGGGGAGTTCCCTAACCTGTAGGTATGGTGCCGGTTGTTCCTCCCCAGGTGCATCACCTTGCACTTATCTGTGTTATTTCAGTCATTGTTCATTATCTTTGAACATTTTAAGATCTCTGTCAAATTCCACTTTAGAATTGCTGTCCTGCGGCTGCATGTTTACCTTCAGAAGCATGTTAACATGTAATACACCTCCAAGTGAGTCTGTACATGCAAGGGATGTCACAAGGATTTTAAGGTGTTCTAAAGATGGAAAGTTGATCGACTATGAAAATATTTATTTTCAAAGGTCTTTGAGTCTTCCTGAATTATTGTACATTTTGGCTCTGGCAGTTATTGTATATTATACAAGGATCATGTTGACTATGAAAATATAATTAACAGTGCATATCATTTTACATGTGGCAACACCAGCAGTATGAGAGAATTAATGACATGATAAATGGGCCAAGGGGATGCCTCCTAGTAACTTCCACTGTTTGTTTTTTAAAAATGGGGTTTGTAAAACTACTTGGTGCCCAACAAGTCTAAACATGCTGTTAAAAATGAAACATCATTGTTAATGTAACAGTGTGCATTTTGCCTAGGGTATCTTCAGATATATTTGTTCTGAAATTAAAATCAATTCTCTCTGCTAAGACGTGGTTAAGGACCAACTCGCTTGTTTTTACTGGAGGACTAAAGAATTGGAATTCGATCTCTGCCTGAGCATCAGCTGAGAAGTCTGAAGGCTATTGGAGCTTTTGCCAAGAGAGCTGTCTTAAGTCTGGAGATACGGCATTGACTAGATGTTACCAAAAACAAATGAGTCTTGATTTTATCATAGAAACAAAGAAATTAAAGGCTGGAAGGGACCTTGAAAGATCATAGAGTTCAACCCTGTTGTTGTGGGCAGGAATACTGCTGAGATCAAGTGATCCCAGCAAGGTGTCTGTCCAGTCCTCTTGAAGACTTCCAAGGTTAGGGACTGTACCACCTCCTTGCAAAGTCCATTCCAGATTCTGGTCACCCTTACCATAAAGAAGTTCTTCCTTGCATCCAACCTGAAACCATCCTCTAACAGTTTATGGTCCCTGCTCCTTGTCCTCCCCTGCGGCGCCCTAATGAACAGTTTTTTTTCTCTTAGCTCCCAATATTCACCCCATACATACTTATAGATGGCCACCAAGTCTCCACTCAGTCTTCTCCTCCCCAGGCTGACAGTCCCAGATCCCTTAGTTCAAGCTTGTCTAACATATGGCCCGTGGGCAGCCATGCAGCCTGCCAAGCCATTTTATCTGGCCTGAGGTCCCTCACTCGGGACTGGAGAGGAGTCCTGGTGCCTGCTCCATGCTCCATGACAGCGGCAGCAGTGAGGCAAGGCGAGGCAGGCAGGGGCAGCCCGTGGGCCCCAGCTGGCAGTGAGAGATGGGGAGCTGCTTGCCCCCGTGGAGCCGGACTCATCATGTGAGCCAGGTCCCACCGCCGCCGTGTTGAGGGCTGCGCGGCACGGGGCTGCCCCATCCACGCTTGACAGCACCTGCAATTTCTCCTCTGGTTCCTCCCCTTGTCCCCGGTGTGCGGCTGAGGGAGCTGCAGCATGGCCCATGCCCTGCCCGTGTGCCGCTCGGGACGGGACAAGCCTGCACCAGTCAGTCCTGAGCGGCGCACAGATCCACCACTGCGTCTGCTGGCTGGTGCAGACCTGGCCGGCCTCCTCCCATCCCCAGTAGCACACGGGAAGCCAGCTTCAGCTGCATCCTACTTTTCCTGGCTGGTGCTGACCCGGTTCTGCCCAGGTGGGTCCTGCAGCACCATGTCAACCCCGGCATGGCACCAGCAGGCCGGGTGGGCCCCAGGTCAACCCTGGCCTGGCCCTGCAGCTTCTCCAGCACCAGGTCAACCTGGTTGTAGCCACCTGCAGTATCATGTCAACCAGCACCATGTCAACCCCTGCAGCTTCATTGGTGTCAAAGGTCACGTGACATCACTTCCTGATGTGATACCGCTTCCTGTGAGGTCTTTGAATATGGCTCACCGGCCCACCGGGTGATAAAAAGTTCGTGATCCGGGCCCACGTTCAAAAAGGTTGGACACCCCCGCCTCAGTTGTTCCTCATGAGGTTTGTTCTCCAGGCCCTTAATCATTCTTGTGGCCCTTCCCTGGGCCCTTATAAGAGTCTCCATCTTTTTTGAAGTTTGGTACAGTTTTTGAGACATTCTCAAAAAAAAAAAGGAAAATACTGAACTTTTAGTATTAAAATTCAGGAAAATCCTTATTTAAAAAAAAAAAAGGGGGATTCTAGGTAGTGAAATATATGTTAGTGCACTGGAGGGAAGGATCCAACTTCCATATACCATATTTACTCAAATCCAAAATAAGGGTTTTTTTTTTTCTCAGTTCAACATGAGGGCAGCAAGTCGGGGGGGGGGGGACCTTCAATCTTAGGTTCAAGTACTGGCCTAGGGGAGGCAGCTGCTGCAACTTGAGCCCCAGCCTGAGCTCCAGAGTTGGAGCCACTACCTGTCCCAAGCTGGGGCTGAAGTGGCTCATGCAGCAGAGGGAGTATGGCCCAGGGGATGCACAGCTGGGGAAGTGCAGGGGAGATGTGCAGAAGCAGGGGAACTGCTGTGGCTCTGGTTCTGATTCAAGCCTGAGGCCAGAGCTGCAACAGATGCAGCTCCCTGGCTTGCTTGGGGCTAAAGCCATCATATGCTCTGTACTCCAGACTGGTGCTGGGGGTGGGGCAAGTGACAGGGATAGGGGGCAGTCACTTGGGGTGGGGCAAGTGTTGGTGGGGGGACAGGCAGAGGGGCCAGGGGTGCAGGGAATGAATTTAAGACAACTTTCTGATAACTTGATTTTATATGTGGCAAAATATAACAAATGTGTAATGTTTTCATTTACAGAATCTAGTGGGGGAAGGGGTAGTCTTAAATTCAAAGTTGTCTTAGATTTAGTTAAATATGGTATTTATCAGTTGAAACCTTCATTGTGCCTGACTTTTTAAAAATTCCTTCTAAGGTTTCCTCCTTAGCCTTCAGCTATAGCTCTAGACAATGTTAAGTTTTCCAGGCAGTTTGCACAGTAATTCAAATTGTGGGACATTG